GGAGAGAATATGGCCGGAATGCTATGGGATGCCCATCGGGCTACTGTAAACGATACCCGCGTTCGTGTTAATCAGATCGAAAGATACCCGGATCCTTTCGCGGGGACCGTGCGGGGTCGAGATTCGGGGGTTGTGACGACGGTCGTGCCCTCGCGAGGGCACTAATGCCATGTCCGTATTCAAAACTGAAGCGGCGTTTTTCAAAACTCTGGCGGCCGCCAGGCCGCAAAGCTTCCGAAATGAAAGGAATAGAGTAGAGAAATGATGGAAGAAGAGCTGAAGAGGGTCGGATGAGCAGGGGATCCATTCGACCGGGCACCGCCGCCCGAAAGTTGGCACAGGCACAAATCTATAATGCAACTCCCTGAGCCGATCGGTTTCCGCTACATGCAATTACTTTTGTCTTCTAAGCGTCAACGAGAGTCGGATCGCTGTGGTTGCCATGCGAGAACGAGATCAGCAGATTGTACGATCGATCTCGAGGCCCGGTTCTTGGAGCTGAAGAAGACCAAACGCGTGGCTCATGTCTGCGATGTGAAGGACCAAGCAGTGCCTCCGCTGGGTCGGAACAGATCGAACCAGCAAGGAAACGTCATGGAAGCTTCGTCGGGGCTTCTTAGCATTGAACTCGCCCGCAACGAAGCGAAGACGTTGATCATGAGACTGTACATGTTCTCAAGATCACCGTAAGAACGCCGAGGCAGTGCTTCTGGCCAACAGCCACCAGGAAGTGAGCCCACGATTTGATCCTCCGGCCCTACAACATTGATGGCCGCGAAAGTTGACGATGCAAGGCCTCGATCCATCCGTCTGACTCGGCAAATGAAGTTCACAATGTCCAAACGGTCTTCCAGCTAGTCAGCAGCGTCAATGAGAAGTCCGAAAGTGCCGACACATGTCGAATGCCATAATGTTCCAACGGTGGCCAGCATGACGCAATACACCTCTCTGGAGGGAAGATATACGTCACTGCCACCGGCTCCAGTGCACCGTTACACCCAGGTCCCGAAGAAGAGGTTGCAGACAGCTGCTCCGGCGACGGCAGCAGGACTGGTTCCCAAGCTGAACAGCGCGGTCATCGGGGGCAACAGGGGTCCATTCCTCGCCGAATTCAATCAGAGCTTTCCGTAACCGGTCAACAATTGGCTCCAACGGCCGCTTATCCTCCGCGTTCGGCGTCGTCTCCCGGTGGCCCGGCTTGAAACGTCCCCCACCGAGACCTCCCAGCTCTGGAGCCCACCGCGCCCCGGCATCCGTTTTCAATCCCACAAAGACGTGTTGAACACGGAAGAGTAGTCGGCGTCCGCGCTGAACGTGCCCGGCGCCACGGGGCAGTCGGCGCGCTGGCCGGCCGCCGCCGCGAGCCCCGAAAGCAGCGCCGCCGCAACCGCCGCAACCCGCACGCCGCGCACGCTGCCGCCCATCGTGATGCCGGGGCCGGACGGAGAGACGCAAAGGCGTTGTGCGAAAAAGAGCGGAATGGGGACGTCGACCCCCCCAGCCCGCCAGGAGCACAGCCCACCAATTCGCTCGATTTGGCCAGTCCGACTCGGCTCGGCAGGAGAGTGGAACTTGACCGAAGAAGAAAAAGGAGAGACATGTAATCCATCGCATGTGCTCGGCTCGGCGGCGACCGCGGGGCAGCCTGGCAGCTTGCAGGTGCTTCACACAATGTCATGACAGCCATGGATGAATCGCGACGCGCACGCGGAGGGGACCAGGCTCTCGGCCCGCAGGGCGTCGGCAGCCTCCTCCGCCGCGCGGGCGTTCCGTGCAACTCCTTCGCCGCCCAGAAGATCCTCGCCGAGCTGTACGAGACCGGAGCGGACGCCGGGCTCGCGCTCCGCGCGCTGGGGGTGTCGGTCCGCTCTCTACGGCCTTCTTGGACCACTTGGAGCTGTGGAACCATTTGGACAAGTACGACCGGTGCTTGCAAATGCTCCGGTGTACAGGACTGGACGCGGCAGACCTGGAGGAGGCCCTCCAAAACGCGCGGAATGTCTGGTACGAGTACCGTTGGAAGTGCATAGCGGGACTTCGGGAAATCACGGCGGCCGACTCGGCGGCATTCTTTGCGGATTGCGAGGAGCCGGAAAACGATGGCAGGGACGATGCGATCCGCATTTTCGAGGGGATGATGGAGATCATGCCCGAGGGAACCGCCCTGGACATGCTCGCGCTGTGCCGCTGGCCCAGCGGCAAGCGCGGATGGCTGTTTAGCTGCTGCGTGCTTCTTGGACTCGGATGTGGGTCCCCAGGACGAGGATGGCAAATCGAAAGCCTCCTTCGGGCCTCTGCCGCCGTCACTTTGGCTGCCGCAATGTCTCGCGACGAGGCACTTGCGTTCTTCTTCAGAATGCTGGAGGCCTACAACGACTTCTGCATCAAGGCCTTCCTGCCCCTGATGTTCTCGGAATCCGCCTGGCCCAGGAACCTGCACATGCAGGCGGCCGATGTCGTTCACGAGGCCCAGCTCTGGCCCGAACATGCACAGCGTCTTCTGACCCAGAGTCGTCGTCCACGTGCGCTTTCCCGACATGACGAAAGAGTGGCTGCTGAAGCAGCAGCACAACATCCGCACGGCGTTCGAGTCGCCGGATCGCTGCGTTCCTGGCTGGCGTAGGGTGCTCGATGCGCTCATCAAGGAAGCTCGGCTTCCTGAAGCCCGACTTCAAGCTGCCCACGTCAATCGCAGATGGAGTCAAAAGAACGCGAAAGTGTTGGACCAGGTCAGGTGCCGCCCGTCGACACCTCGTCCCCTGCCATCCCCGACCAAAACAAAACCTCCGCTCCATGATAGGATCGAACTATCGAACCTCATGGTGCAGATGCAGGCTGCCCCAAACACAACATGCACAGCGTCTTCTGACCCAAGCGGTCGTCGACGTGCACTTTCCCGACATCGCCGCCGCGGACCGGGTGGTCGACTTTGTCCGTCATCTCGGGAGTTGGCGTCGTCTTCTCTGACATCCCACGTTCCACAGAATTGTCCGAAGTGCTTTACTCGATGACGCTGGTCACCGTTTTTTCGATCGAAAGCCCGACCCTGCGGACGATTGGTATCTTTGTCGGTCTGATTGTGTGGTTCACCCTCACGGTCGGCATCCTGCTTGTGATGGAGGGCTTGTCGGCCTTTTTGCACGCGCTGCGTCTGCACTGGGGTCAACGCTCGAACATAGCTGGAAATGAAGAAGCCCCCGACCCCCCGGAAATTTGATGGAGGCGCCTGACGCTGGGGAGGCCGTCGACGCGGACTACTTGCTCGACGGACGAGGAGGTCGACGTTGGGGCGGTGCAGGAGGGCGATTCGGAGGCGGTGGCTCGAGGCGAGGGGGATCGGGGCATCAGCTATCGCATCTAGAGAAGATCTATTCCTGACCATCCGGATCCGATTCCTCATAGTCGTAGTCCAGGTCCACGCTCCGCCGTTTCAGCCCCTGGCCACTACATTCACCGTTCTTTCCCTCTCGACAGTACCAGCACCAACCTGCAGACGGGTTGCGACGGCACCGGCAGCACCGCCCCGGCCCATCCCTACAGGGGTAAAGCTCCACACCATGGCCGTTCCAATGGAAGAAGGTCAGTGTGCTGCCCACCGGCCTCGAAGGGTCAGCAGCAGCCGCAGCAAGGAAGCGGGCACGCATCCTCCGGCGCTCCTCGAAAAGCACGACCTCCTCGACGTTGAGGCGACGCTGTGCATCCCGTTCTCGCCAGTGGCACTGCCCTACAACGTGAGCATGGCACGACCGGCAGAGGTCCATGACCCCAAGATCGAATCGCAGAACGCGTCCCACAACTCCCAGGCACCGGCAGCATAACCCCTTGCATTTCGACTGCGGGGCGCAGCCGGTAGTTCCAGATGGCCCGGGTTGGGCACGTTGCGATACGTCGACCTCCAGAGCATCTAGCTCCTGGTCCAACGATGGCTCCTGCTGGTGGGCCGCGGTTGGTCGCCCTCGCTGCGTCACGTTGTCAGTCATGTTGAGCCCGTGTGGCTCGTGCATGGCTGCACGGTGGTGACGATCAAGTCCGACCTCCCAGGCGGCAAGGCCGAGCACACGAGAGGAAACCATGACGAAGCAGATGATCGCCACGGTCTCCGCGTAGAGCAAAATACGTCCGAGCAGGAGCTGGTGTTGCTGGTCGGGCCGATGCGCGTAGAACGCGTCAATCACCCCTACAGGCGAAGTTGATCAGGCAAAGTGCCGCGCGAGCAAACAGCGCCCCATACCTGGAAAGATGGACTCAAAGTCCCGCTTGAACTTCGCCACGTCGATCGAAAGCAGTGCAAAAACGGTGGGAGTCCATGGAACAATTCGATAAAGCCATCGCAGCGAGGCGCCGCTTAACCCGTCGTGCTCTAGAAGCCGCACGGCCATGTTGCGCATCGTTGAGCCGATGTAGAACCGAAGTTGTCCGCCAACATGCGAGCCGGCGGCGCGTGACGGCGATGACAGCGTTGACGGCGTCGCACCAGGCCGCCGGAAGCCACGAGACCGCCGAGTTCGAAGGCCGGAGGATGTACACGCCCGCGTGGCCGAGTGGATCGCCCCGTGGCGCTGTGCGTGACGCGCGGAGATCGGAGCGATTTTGGAAGTTGAGCTGCGAAAAGTCGAGGTCCACCATCGCCTGGAGGACGACGGCCGGGAAGAGAAGGAGGATCGAGAAGACGATTTGAGGGTTGGCGAGAATGTTCACGCGGCTTTGTATCACGTGCGAGTTTTCGGCGAGGTGGTGGCAGTAGCCGACCACAAGCGGCACCAGGAGCAGCGCGTTCTGGCGCGATTGCGCGGAATGGGAGGGCAGAAAGAGGAGAAGCACCGTCAGCGCGAGGATGATGTGGTCAATCTCGTAGGATCGAGCCGCTCGACGACGCCACTCGAGCAGAGCGGATCGCGGTCCGCTCCCCGCCATTCGCAGCAGCGAGGCGGCGCTGTTGCGGGGTCGGAAGCGGGTCCCAGGGCACGGCGGCCTCACATACCTCACGCCGAAAAAAAGCTCGCTCCATAGTAGGATCGAACTACTGACCTTGTGGTAGCCAGGAATCTCGATTTTAAAGAGACTGCTAACAGCCACACGCTCTAACCAGACTGAGCCAATGGAGCACTGCGAGTGCAATGGAAGAAAAATGGGAACCGATACAGTCCGGTGCCGGGTACTTGAGCGGCAAACTTCCAAACACAACTTCGACTCGTTCCCCACACACCAATTACATCGTTTTCGCCTAGAAAATCTACAGAGACGCGTCCAATAGAGCCGCCTGCACGGCAGTGGGGCTGGGGTTTCGCCCGGCTTGGATTTCGGCCCAGGCGTCGGCGTTCATTGCCAACGCTAGAGCGACCTCCGCGTCAAACTCCTCGTCCAGCGCTTCCTGGACCGTCACAGCCAATTCGTCGCTTTCATCTTCATCGTCCTCGTCGGGAATGGGCTGGACGGCGTCCCCAGAATCGTCCGCATCGCTCTCGAGCTCGTTGTCGACGACCATCTCTGCGGTCCGAAAAGAGCGACTGCGAGGCTCCGGCGGCACCAGAGCTGCCTCCTCCTCATCGTCATCGTCAATGTGGATGACCATAATTGCATCCTGGCGGCGGTACTCGTCCCCTTCCTTCTCAGCATGAATGACGAGCCTCTCCCATGCGGCAGCATCCACCAGCGCAAACCCCTCCTCCAGAAGGACCTTGACGTCGGCAAACTTGCGCGACTCGTTGTTCTCAGCAACATGGTTCGTTGCGCGGGCCCACGCAAGCTCGATGGGGTTCAGTTTGGGGTGGTACGGGGGGAAGGAAGTGGAGGTAGATGTCGAACTCGAGTGCCAGCTTGTCAATGAAGCGTTCCGGCTGGTATCCGAGCTCCTGCAGCAGCTTGCGAAGGTCCTTGACGGTAAAGCCGCCTCCAGTCTTCGTTTTGCGCGCCGTGAGCTGCTCCATTGTGTACGGAGTCGTGCCCATGTCCACGATGGCCTTGGCGAGATCTGCCTTCTTGGTCAGCTGCGAGATCCGTTTCTGACCCTCCACAGGTGCAATGTGGTACGCAGCATTGTCCATGTGTACGTGGATCTCGCCCTCCGGGTCCTTTTCGCGCATCTTCCGAAATGCACCCCGAGCCCACTCTTCAAATTGCCTCGCATTCATGGATCCATGGTAATCCGCCAGCTTATGATCGCCCTGGAACACTTTGGGAGACTCGAGCCATCCGTATCTCGATCCACAGCCGATGATGCACCCGCCGCGAAGGTGCCGCGTGGCCGCCCCCGAGCGATCGGTCCGATCTCCGGCGCCCCGATCTGGGCAGCGGAAGCGAGCAACGCGGCTGCGAGGCGGCCTAGGTAGTAGAGAAGAGGCCCAGCGGGATTTTCGAAGGCGGACCGGGGGGCAAGCAATCGAGGCGGGCGCTGTGTGAAGGATTTTCTGCGGTCAGACTAATTGGTCTGCTTGAAAGCACTCGCGGCGAAGCGTCGCTTGTGTACGCCGCGAGCGCCGTGGCCTGCACTCACTACGAGCGCGCTGTTCCTGCGCTCACACCTCCTCGTGTTCCCCTCGGGCCCCCTCCGCGGGGTGTCAAAAACTCCGATATGGCTCCGCTGCACCTCTGCCGCGGTTCTCGGCCGCCGAGCTTCGTCGGCCGCCGGTCCGGGGCATGCTCCAGACCGCCAACTACAGCCCCAAGGCCGTCCCCTACGTCCCCATCTCGGGCTGGCACGGCTACAACGTGATCGAGCCCTCGGACAACAAGCCCCTCCGCCCGCCCATGCGGGATGTGTACCAGATCGGCGGTATCGGCACTGGTGCCCCTTCGGCCGTGTTGAACTCAAGACGGCCATCACGTCGCTCTCGCCCTTGCCAGGGCCGTGCTCCTTAGCCGACATCCTGCTCCTTGACGAGCCCACGAACCACTTTGGTGCGTCGCGGTGCATCGTGCTGCTTTCTTAAATCGCTACGGACCCTGATGTCCGCTAGTAAGGGTCGTCACCACGCCTACCGCTACAACAACCTCCTGCGCTCGGTCCATGTCGGGCTGGTACCTTGAGCACTGCCCCCGCCGGGGATGCCAGCCAGATCCTTAGTCCTTTCCAGGCCTGCCCCAAGGTCAGGCGACCGAGCTGCAGATGTGCCCGTTCAATAGTGTCGGACCAGATCGTTGATGGACCAGGTTGTTGATCAAATTGCAAAGCAAATGAATCGAACTCAACATTATGACTAGCGATGGTGACATAGGGAATCGATCTGGTTATACAAAGGTGATCGTTTGCAGCGAACATAGAACGAGATTAGGCGTGCATATGTGTGATAGCCCTGCCAGCAACATGTTAGCAAAAGCGGAAAGCATTGGCCGCGGTCCTACGAACGTCACTCTTCTTCCTCGTCCTCGGCGGGGCGCTTTTGCTTCAGCTGCTGGCTGGCAGCTACCTTCCGCCTTATTGCGGCGACGCCACCCTTGTACGTGAGGTCGAGGAGGTCGAGAAACTGGTCACGGCCGGTTGGCGTCGGCGTGAAGAAGAGGATGCAGCCGGAGCTGCAGTCGCAGGACAGCTCGCGCCACGCGACGGGATCACCGGCCTTGGTGAGGACAGTGGGGTCGAACATCTTGTTCTTGACCTCCTTGCCATCCTTCTTGAGCATCTTGTGGTTGTTGACCATCATCTGAAGAAGAAGGGCATCAAGAGCGCCACCGTCAGAGTCCATGTGAGAACCAACCTTGAGCCGGAAGATTTCGACGCCTCCGTCGGCGGACTTGAAGATCGGAACGTCCGCAGGTTTGGGAGGCTTGCCCCCGGTCTTGCCCGAAATCTCCTTCCGCGGGATGCAGAAGATGAGCGGCTTGGCCGGAAAAGCTTCTCCCTTGTCCTCGAAGATCTCCTCCAAACGTGTGCAGACGGATGGGCATCGGTGCAACAGCTTGCCGACTTTTTGATCGTTCGCAGACCTGAGTGAAGCAAGTGATCAGCAGTGTAACGGTGACCCGCTGTTCGGATTTGCTCCCAGACCTTGGTGCAGCGTGCGATCGCACGACACCCATCTCCGGGCAATTGCCACATGCCCAGGTGGTCACCTCATCCAACCTCTCGTAATCAAGTAAATTCTGCATCAGTTCCGTCGTCTCGAAGACTGGCCAGGATCCCGTCAGCGGCGGCCCAGGCTCTCGATCACCGCATACCTTGGTTCTCGGCTCCGGCGGTGACCCACTCGATCTTCTTGCCCAGAAACTTCTGTAGCCACGTAAAGAGTGAGACACTATGAACGCGCAACAGCGAGTATAGCTCACTGGATTGTAAATGCCTTCTTTCTCAGCAAACAGCTTCGGCCCCGACTTCTTCCCCCCCGCGCTCGGACCGGCCTGGTTGGTCTCCTTGTTGAACTGGAGGACGCGAAGCATGGCCAAAATCTGAAAGGTCGGCTTGCCAACGTAGTGGAGGTCCCATGATTTCTCGACGATCCGCGCAGAATCTTCAAATCCAAGCTCTTGCAAGGCCACCAGCATGTCCGGTAGCTGTTCCTTCGAGGGGAACAGGTAGGTGCGGTCGAGCAAACTCATGAGCCGTTCCAGTCCGCCGGTTTTGGCGGAGAGCTCCCCGATCTTGGCCATGTTCTCCCAGCCGTCGGTGCGGAAGGCGAGCTGAAAGAAGGAACCTGGCTGTACCGTCCGGAACGTGCCGGTCTGCAGCACGTCCCCGATTTGGCTGCCGAGAAACGGGGTGTCAGTAGCGCCAACATCGGAAGCCCAGCACACTCACGTGAAAACTCGATCGTTGCGATTCAGCATCTGGATCCGGTATTCAATCGGGACATTCCGAGCCCCCGCCGACGATGGATGCTCCTTGAAAGGCAGCATGAGCGACGGCTCGGTGCCGAACTTGTTGGCTCCTGCTCCCGTCCCCCGCAGGACCTCGAGAACGGTAGCATCCCCGAGGTGCACAGCGCCGGTGAGCGGCCGCGACTTGTCAAAGACCACAAAGTAGTCCTTGTAGGGGGAGAAGCGCTGCCATAAAGAACATCAAGACTGAGCTCCAAACCCTGCACGGCGAGAGAACCCACCGTGATGTGTTCCGCGACGATCTCGGGCTGGAACATGACCTTGAGTGACGAGCTGGTCTTTGCGACAAAGTCATGGGTCCCGGGCGAGAAGAGGTCGAAGAGGTGCTCCCGGCCCTTGAAGGCCGTCCGAGCGACGCCGTCCAGCAGCTTGTTGGGCTCGGGGCACGTGGGCACTTTGTCCGCACAGAGCACGTCCTTCGCCGAACCGAGGCCCATGGAGGCGAGGGCGGCTTCCATGAAGCCCTTGGTGGTGCACGGTGTCTGCAGGCACCCCCGCTTGGGAACCCAGGGTTAGGAGTGGTGAAGTCCGACATCTGGATTGACCAACCTCGAGGTTCAGCTTTTCGATGTCGTCCAGGTGGCCGGTCCGGGGGTAAACGCCGACAATGGTGGTGTTCGAGAATATGTCACCGCCGGTCGGAGCCGCACGGACGACCTTGCCCCTGCGGATATTTGCCGTCTCGGGAAGGTTCATCTTGTTGTCAACCTCGAGCTGCCCTGCGCAATCAGCACACCACGTTGCAAATGAGAGTAGCGGAGGGACTCCACCTCGTAGGCAGCAACGAGGTCCTTCCGAGAGCGACCCTCTGCCGATTCGGGGTCGAGCCGCTGCTTGCACCGAAGCCTGGCCCGATCAAAAGCCTGCCTGAGCTGAGCTTCTTCCTCGCCGTCAACGATTGTCAGGACCTTGATCTTGTTGCCGCCGAGGAGCTTGAACGTAGCAAAAGCAGCATCCGCTGGGAAGAAGGTGAGCGCGGGACACAAATGCAGGCAGCCGACAAAACCAACACGGTAGGCCGTCTCCATGCGTTTCCTGGTTCTTCGATTGGAAGAAGTTGAGACCTTGAGTCGGGTTCTGTTGAGGAAGACCTTGTCGGCGATGAACGACAACGAAAGCGATGTACAACATCTACCTGCTTGGGTTCTGGTCCCGGTGACGCTCCACTTGAGCTCGATTCAGAACTCTTGAGCCCTGGATGCAAACGCGCAAAGCAAATATCAGGTTCATGCTCCGATCAAGTCGGTAAACTCACGTTTGGCTCGCCTGTTGGCGAGATCGGCTTCGCTCTCGG